AAGACCAGAGATGGCTTTCAGATTCCTGGGTACCAGGGGTAGATTAACAGCCCCATGCAGCTCAATGAGTTCAGATGCCATGCTCTGCCTGGCCAGTGGTGCACGACTGCACTGTGGACTCAGTACTTCCCTATGTACCAGAGAGCAGGCCTGGGAAACCCAGCACAGGGACTATGTGCTGACATGGCACAACCTATACTTATACAACTTTTTTGTTCATGTAAACGTTTTTTTTTTTTTTTTTTTTTTTTTTTGGAGGAGAGAGTATTTTAGTGCCTACAATATTGGAGAAGGATAACTTGCTAGCTGTGAAATAATCCATGTTTGCACCCTATCAAATTACCTCTATTTTGAACCCAAAGTGTGCCTGTTTCTTAATCCTGGGTCTCATCTGCCAAGTTTCGTGGTGGTTTTGCAATGTGGTTGATGTCCCTCAAGACTGGGACCACTAAATACACCAATGTGTACTCTTCCGTGTCTAGTTTCTCTGTGCCAGCAGTTGTCAGCGAATCAACCCTTGTGAGCTCATTTTGGACATTTTGCTTCTTTGGCTCCAGAAGGGTGGAGGCCCTGACATAAAAACTAAAATTTATTATCCTGCCTGTGGAATGATTTCTGTGGTGAACTGGTGGATTCTCCCCTCTTTTGGCAAATTTAAAAATAGGTGGGACAAAATGGTGGTGAATATACAGAATAGGGATGTAAAATCCCAGTTAACCAGTTAACTAGTTAAACCTTAGGTTTAACCGGTTTTATGCAGGATCTTACTCCAGTTCCCCTCTCTGCCACCAAGTGTGGGGTTGCAGCTGTCAGCTCCCTGTATGGGAGGGCTGACAGCAGGAGCTGGAAGCCCCACATGCTGGATATCGAGCTCCTGCTCCCACCTCTTCTCCCCCTATGGAGGGGAGGCTGGCTCCAGACCCCTATGTGTTTCCTGATTATCTGGTAAGCACCACCCTTACTGGTTACCTGCTTTCTGGTGCATAGGGAAGTTGTGAGTCCACAGTGCAGTCATGTCCCCTAAGCTCATTGAGCTGCATGGGGCTGTTAATCTACCCCTGGTACCCAGTAAGTGTGATAGTTACCGGGTAACCAGGGAACCCGTTAACCATTCACATCCCTAGTATAGAAAGGAATGCTTTACACTTGCAGGGAGATGTACTACAAGGGCTAAGACTTCCTTACCTAATTTAATTCTGTGATCTCTGAACTGACTTTCAGGTGTGAGATGGCTGAATGGTAGCAGAAATATTTTTTTGTGCCCCTGTGCCTTGCTATGGGAAGGAAGGTATTTACTGAAATGTTTATGGATTGGGGGTGATAAATCATATTGTCAGAACTGGTTGAATTTTATTGTTCACAAAGTTTTGTTTGTTTGCCAAAAATGACTTTTCTGTCAAAACAGAAATTTCTGTTTCGACTAACATTTTCAGATATTTTTGATGAAAACAAAAAACATCGGAGGAAAAATTGTGGTAAAAACAAAAACTTGTTCATTGCATTGTAATTTTATTTATGGAACAAATATCAATAATTTCCTGACCAACCCTGTATACCGGCCACCTCTCTGAGGATCCTCCTGAGACCTCCAAAAGAGCTAATGGAGAGGGCATCTGTTCTCAGGAAGAGCAAAGTAGAGAGAGCCCATTGAATTCCCCTCTCCCTTCCTCTGCTCCAGTCACACCAAAAGACAAGCTGAAGAGAGGCCCCTACAACTGAGTTTAAGGTGAAAGACTGGGGATAAGGTTTGCTATTTAAAATAATATTGACCCCACCTGTCCGGAGCTGGGTGAGTTGTGTGTGACCCCTCAGAAAAATCCTACCTCTCATTTCATTTCATTTCATTTGTGACCTAGAGTTCAAACATTCAAAGCGGCCTCACCACAGCCTCTGAATTTGACTGCCTGCAGATGCATGTGAGACACCTTCCCCCTGGGTGAGTCATCATCAGCAGGGCTTGAATCTGTGACCTCTGCATCTAAAACCATGAGCCTTTATTGCTGGAGTTAAAAAACCTAGGACTACTACCTCAAAGGCAAATGCTCTGTGGACCAGCCATTAGAAGGGGAACAAAAAGCTATACTGTCTAGGCTATGTCTAGACTGGCATGATTTTCCGCACATGCTTTTAACGGAAAAGTTTTCTATTAAAAGCATTTGTGGAAAAGAGCGTCTAGATTGGCACGGCCGCTTTTCCGCAAAAGCACTTTTTGCGGAAAAGCGTCCGTGCCAATCTAGACGCGCTTTTCCACAAACAAGCCCCGATCGCCATTTTCGTAATCGGGGCTTTTTTGCACAAAACAAATCTGAGCTGTCTACACTGACCCTTTTGCGCAAAAGCTTTTGGGCAAAAGTCCTTTTGCACAAAAGCTTTTGCGCAAAAGGACTTTTGCCCGAACAGGATCAGCATAGTATTTCCGCAAGAAGAACTGATTTCTTACATGAGATCGTCAGTGTTCTTGCGGAAATTCAAGCGGCCAGAGTAGACAGCTGGCAAGTTTTTCCACAAAAGCGACTGCTTTTGCGGAAAAACTTGCCAGTCTAGACACAGCCTCTACACTACAGCGATGAGTATGCTTCCCAGCCCAGGTATGCTTACATGTGCTAGCTCTGCTCAACCTAACATTCTAAAGATAGGTGCATTGCCAGGGCAGCACAGGTGCTGGCTCAGGCTAATTTCCTGAGTAGAGACCTGCCTCATTCCCTGAGTCCATATTGGGCAGATAGCCTGAATGTCTGTCTGTGCTACCCCGTCTACACTGCTTTTTTTTAGCATGCTAGCTTGAGCACAGCTAGCACATATATGTCCACCTAAGCTGGGAAGCACTGTCCCAGCAGCAGCTAAGACGTACCCTCAGCATATATTATACATGAACTAGGCTTTTGTGTGTGAATTTTGGGGTGTGCAAGAAAAGGCTGTTTGTGTGAGCATCTCCACATCTTGGGTAGTGAAAAAAATTGGATGCTTCAACCTGTCTGTGCAAAAAACCCAAATGGGTATGGAATGGGGTTTATAATCAGCTTTATAAAAACTGGTCACAGGTAGTAAAATTAGGACTCACCTCTTGGATAGTGTTAGCACATAAGCTTAAAATATATCTTGAACTAACATTTTTGTGAGTCATCCTACATCATCTTAATATGCAATGATGTAAATAATTTGAACTCCATGAATTTAGGAAAGAGCAAGTGTATGTAGTGTCTTGTTCCATTATTAATATTTAGAATTCATTGACATAGCCTTATTGACTCATTGGGCCATGTTTTATCCTGTTGTAACTTCAGTGTAGCAAACAAGGAATGAATTTGTTCCAGTGACTATGCCAATAAGGCTGGGTACAGTATGCCATATGAGCTATCACTATATACAATGTCTTTCAA